ACTCCAATCTTGGGGCAGCTGGCTCGGTGGCCTGCAGCTCACCGCTGAGCTGTGCAAAGAGGCCACCGTTCAATATGCCTTGTAACCCTCGCAACATTGTCTCGCCTGCCATACCGCGAGGCGCTTCACCCGTCCCGCAAAGCAGCTCCCGTGCCGAAGGCTGGGTGGCAATGAGCGGTCTCCCGGACTTTAAGAAACCTAAAGTGGCTGCTTGAAACCAAAGCGGTTTTCAGGGCTTTCTCAACCACCCCCCCTGAACCCTCAACCCTCAACCCTCAACCCTAAACCCGGCCGGGCAACCTTGGCCCTCCGCCCTCCAGGACTTGCACGCGCTCGTGGCGTGGCGATGTGGAGGCCATAGGCCGCAGCCCAGGATGGGCTGCTAACCCTCTTCACTCTCAGAGGGACTTAGGGATTAGGGTTCAGGGTCTCGGGTTCAGGGTGTAGAGGAGGTACCCCTTTCACAGGGGGTCTGCAGAGTTGCTTATGAGGGGATTACGAATACAAGGTCGAATAGCGTGCTGGACCTCTTCGAGGGCTTAGGCGCTAGGGGTTTAGCGTGCAGGGGGTTTAGGGGGGTAGGGGCCGCCTTTCGGGCCTGGGCTTCGGGTTTGGAAACTCATGGGCTATGGCGTGTCACCAAAATTCGGCGTCCGGGCTTGTGCTTCGGGGTGAAGTTCGATACGTCCATCGTGGTTCAGGGTTTCGGGCTCAGGGCTTGGAGCCTGACATACTCTCTCATGGTTCGGCTGCAATATGGCTGCGGAGGTAGCGCTTCGAAGCTTCAGGGCGTTCCACCTTCGCGGGGTTTACGTTTCGGGTTTGGGATGTAGAGGGCTTTTGGTCCCTAGCCCGAAGTCGTGACCCCTAAGCTGCCCTAAGCCCGAACCCCATGATTTGGAGAGGCAAACCCTAAACCCAAAGCCCTGTTTTTGAAAACCAAACCTCGAAGATTCCTTAAGGGGGCTGTAGCTTGTAGAACTGACCCTGTCCGGATCCTTAGCAACTGCAGGTGCGGAAAGGCTAAGCTTTCGACTGAGGCTCGATGCGGGTTTGGGTTTAATAGGGCTTCGTGTTTCGGGTTCCTGGCCTAAGGCTGTCTGGCTTTTTGCACTCTCGCCAGGGGCTGCATGCGCAATCCATCAAACTCCGCTCGTCAAGCCAGGGAGTCAGCACACAGGCTGTACAGTGCGGTAGGGTCTCGGGTAGGATGTTACATTGTGGGCTTTACATACCTTAAACCGAAACAGACCTTCAGTTTTCGTTATCCCTAGTTTCAACTTGAGCTCCCTACAACAAGCCCTATATGCCTCAAGGTTTTGGGACGGGTAGGGTTTTTTTGTAGGGCTGAGTTTTACGTGCACCTTCATGTGGGGAATGTTTGGTTCATCAAGGGAGGGATCTGCCAACCATATTATGTCCTGAGGGAAGTACCTTGGGGTGTCCAGCGTCTGGCCCCCAACACGGTGCTGAGTCCTTTTTCAGAAAGCAGGCCTGACTCCACCAGTAGAGTCGAGTCTTCCCCACCTTTGAAAGAGGACTTCTTTGGGACATTCCTGTAAACACGAAACACCCAAACCCTAAGTTTCCCGACATGTCTTGAGTGACGGGGACCCCCCAGAGCTGCAGGGAAGAGTACCCTACAGGCAGAAAGACGTCGGCCGGCGGGCGCTCCCGCGGCTTCTGCCTCGGATTCGGGATGCCGTCGGACAGCAACTCCCTAACATTCGCCCCCCCTTGCCAAGCCTTCCCCCCGCCCCCCTCCCAAAAAGGCATGTTCGGATGAGCGTACGTCACAGTCTTTGAAAAAGATTGTGAGTTCTTGATATTGGGGGGGTGCTGTGCACGGTCCAACCTGTAACCCTAAGGTACTGCTAAACCCCAAACTGCACCGAAGCTGTTCCACGCACCTGAAACCCTAAATCCTAAACCCTACACCCCTTAGACCCTAGATGCCTAAGCCAGGTGCAACTGGCCGGAACTCTGAAACTTCCAAGCTCTGAACCACCCCTCCCCCCCCCCCCAAAAAAAAAAAAAAAAAAAAACGAATGAGCCCTAACGCACCCCTATGAGCCCGAAACCCGCCTCCAAACCCTAAGCCGGTACTTACGTCGTGTTTAAGCCTAGGGTTTTAGGCCGCCATATAAGTTTTGGGAACCCTTGCTTCGGAAGCGCCCATGTAAACTGTGCTCCCCGTCGCGCTCATGCGACGACAGGCGGGTCGGCCGCCATCTCACTTCTAGGCCTCCGTCGAAGGGCGAACTTTTGGGGTTTAGGGCTTTGGGTTTGGGATTTGAGGTGCAAGAAATGCCAAGAATGCAGTGTATGGGACTTGATGATATGAAGCTCAGAGACTAGGGACCAGGATTTGGGGTTGAAGGGGTTTCGGGATGAGGGCTTGAGGGCTGAGGGTTGAGGGGTGCGCCTCATGCTCAATAAGGTCCACAATGTCCTTGATCAAGGCCTTGGCATCAAGGGACGTTCTGTGCAAGCCGATGCTCCGGAACCCTAAACCTCGGACCCAAAACCGCAAGCCCGCGATGCCTTTAAAGTGGGTCACCCCGACCCGAGTATGCTTTCTTGCGACTGAGGAGGGCCCTTGCATGGACTTTGGGGGTCGAGCTTCATAAGCTTTCACGGGTTTGGGGTAGTGTTTATCCAGAAAGTCAAAGAGGAACCACCGAAGAGGTAGCAGGCATGCCACGACACAGCCCTTTTAAAGGGCTACTGTTGCTTGTATTGCCGGCGTTCACTTCAAACAAGTTGACCTGCCTGCTTCACCCTTAACCCAAAGCCTCAACCCTGCCCCCTGCCCCTGCCTTGTTGATGGGCGGGATGCCGTGCTTCATGAAAATCATCTTGACCTGCGCCGCTGGTCTCTTTTTTGGTCCAACGTGATCTTGGAGGGGTGTAGGGTGGGGGCTAGGGGTGCGCCTCCGACCCAGGGGTTCACTGGTTGCCTACGTCTGTGAAAGTCATACCTTGTATCTGAAGCCGCGTACCAGGTAAGTCTGACACCCGGAGAGGGGCTCGGATCGTACATCTACGAGGCTTCAGTTCAAAGCTGTACCCTCCACCCTCCCGAACCTCCTCAAACTCCTCCTGCTCCGACTACAAGAGCTTAACCCTCAGAAAGCGGAAAATCACAACCAACAAAAGAAAACACTACACTTGGCATGAGGACTCCCTACTGGCCCTTGCCACCTCCCCTTCCAGGGGTTTTTGTGACTTGGCAAGCCAGCCTTGTCCTCGACCTTGTGGCTGCTATCATCCAGGATGCCCTTGATGCCCTGGTACCTGTCGGTGTGGTGAGCCAAATCATGGGCCGTTTCTGCTTCTCGTTTTCAGGTGCACTCCTCATAGTTTGCAGCGTGCTAGAAAAGGCCCAACACCTGTAGGTTCATGACCTTCGGGAGTGAGTTGAGAGGGGGGACTCTGTTCTAGGTACCGGCATGGGGTTGACTTCACTCAGGTTCGCCGTTGAGGCGCGCCCTTTTTAAGGGGGCCCGAGAGTAAACAAAACGGTACCTGGAGGCGTATGGTTCATGGTTTAGGGTGAAGGGTTGAGGCTTTAGGCTTTAAGGCTTGGGGGCATTTCGGGATTTAGGGTTCAGGGCAATGGGTTTAGGGAACCACCCACCTGATCCTAATCAGCTTCTCACTTGAAGGCCGGTGCAGCTAACTTGCAACTTCTTCAAAGTAAGAACAAGAAAAGAAGAATAACAAGAATTGAAGAAACCTTATGTCCTTAAGCCCGATAAGCCCGCAAGGAGGCCTGCAGGACTTCTTTTCTGCTGGAGCTCCGAAGTGTGCACTAACAAGCGGGCGCCGGGCACAGCTGCCGTCCGAGTGCAGAACTCCAGATAGTATGCGCCGCGGGTCCGGGGCTTCGGTTTAAGGGACCATTGCAAGGGTCCGAGCTGTCGTTTCTGCTCAGGGCGTGCACCTGCGACCAGTGCCCACAGCGACACGCTGTGCCTAAGAGCCGAGCCGGGTGACAAAGTCTCAGGGCTTGAGTTCAGGCTTAGGGTTCAAAGTTTGGTGTTCAGGGTTTAGGGGCTTACCCCATCTTAACATACCTACACCGCAAGGAATATATTGAGTGTACGATAATGGAGACCCTCAAGAGAGCCCAGACGTAAAAAACAATCTCCCACATGAACTGAACCCTGCACCCTAGAAACCAAGCTAACATGAGCACCAAATCTTCCAACTCCTTGAACCCTAAACCCCAAGCAGCTCTCTTCGATTACATTCGAGTCCAAGGCCCTAGGAGAGACAGGGGAACCCTTTTTGTGCCTTCTTCTGCTTCTTGGCTCTAGGAGCAACCCTAAACCCTAAACTCTAAACCCCAAGCCCTAAACCCTAAACCCTAAACCAGTACCACTGGGGATCAGTGGACCGTGGGGATGTAGGGAACCCTGGTGTTGGCCACCCGACAGTCAGCTGTGGGGGGTGAGACGTTGGGATCTCCTCCTCCGTCCAGGTCCCCTGATTTGGCGGCTTAGGGTTTAGGGTTTAGGGCTTAGGGCTTAGGGCGTAGGGCTTAGTGTTTAGGGTTTAGGATTTAGGGTTTAAGGTTCAGGGTTAGGGTTTAAGGTTTAAACAGGTGCAGTCGACTGGAGGACCGATTTAAGGCGTCGGGAGCAGGTTCGTGGCGGTGCTTGCGGGGTCTTGCTTCCGGCACGTCTCTAAACATCACTTTGAACCCCCTCCAAAAGAATCCGTGATTTCACCATGCAAGTTGAGGTCCAACAACTTGTTTGAGCCGTTGCTTTCCGTGCCATTGTTCCACAAGTCCATGAATGATCGTAAGGGCCACAGCTCTGACTTCCCACCAGGGGCTGGGTTGCTTTTGGAGTTTCGGGCTTATACTCCTAGACCTCAAAATCTGAACCCTAAACCCTAAACCCTCAACCCTAACCCGCAAATCCTCAAGCCGCCTAAACCAAGACAGTTGACACCTAACCGATGCCCCTGACGCGAAAGGCGGCCTGGGATCAGTAGCCCCAGTTGGCCACCGGGGGCGCTCCCGAGCCGAACCTGCACGTAGGGTTTAGGGTTTAGGGTTTAGAGTTTAGGGTTTAGGGTTTAGAGAAGCAACCTGCGAAGCAGGTTCGGGGTTGAGGTTTTTGGGGGAGTCTAGGACGTAGGAAACCGATTTTCTGTTGGCTTTAATGGGTTTACAAGGGAACCTTCCGAAGAAGGAAACAAGGATGCTACTTGGCATTGTAAGGAAACAACAAGCATGGATATCTCGGTGCTTGAGGTCTGAACCCGCAAACCCAAAAACTAGAACCGTCAACACTAAACCTCAAACCGAAACCCCAAACACGAAACCCCTGTGAATTTGGGACAGAGAGTCTGGAGCCGTCGGCTAGGCGTTGAAGGTTCCAGGGTTTGTGGCTTTGTGGGGCTTCTCAGGCTCTGGTGATTTTGGGCGGCTGCCCAAAGGTGTAGACTTCCTCAGCTCGCGACTGCGCGTGCTGTGCTTGGCCATAGCCGCCTCTCGGCGACATGCAGTGCATGATGGAGGGATCAGGGGTGCCCAAGGCCTCAGGGCTTAGGGCTCAGGGTTTAGGGCTTAGGGTTTAGGATTTCGGGGCCTCTTTGCTTAGAATGGGTCTTTAGGCTGCAGGATTTTTCGCACCGGTGGTCCTAATTTCTGAACTCTTTGACTCTAAGCACTAGCACACCCAAGCGCGCCCCTCTGTGGTCCCTATACACCTCAGTTCTCTCTACATTCCCCGGAAGGTCCCTTACAAGGGTCCCTCCTTTGGTCCCTTTGATACCAACTCAATAGCCCCCACGCTGCACCCCCGGCCTTGCTGAGACCACTGGTCGTGGCCACCCATGGCCTGCGCCGTCGTCAAGTGTCGCAAACCATGACTGCCCCACAACATCCCCAACATCCCTGAGCCCTAAACCCTCTGAAGCCCTTAAAAGGGTGGGGGTTCAGGATTTCGGCCCAGGGGTCTGAGACCTTGCCAGGAACCCTAAGCCCGAACACCTGTCTGAGCATAGCCTGGCCATAAGACGCTGAACAGGATTCGGAGCTTGAGTGACATGGAAAGGGCCTGTTGGGAGCACCGACCAGACGACCGGAATCCTTCAGCCGACACCCCCGAGAGCCCTAAGCAGGCCCTTGGAAGCGCTTAAACCCTAAAACCCGCACTGCCCACCATGCTGCACTGGCCCACTGGCCTGCTGAGGAGCTTGTCCTGAGCCATAGGCGCCATAGCCACCTGAAGAGCGCACGGGGTGGAAAGCGAGGAGGCAGGTTCCAAAGTCCGGAAGAAAGCTGCTGCATTCGGTTCTGAGAAAAAATCCGGTTGGACGATGGTCACCCCGGTTGGACGATGATCGCCTTTACAACCCGCCGCCAAAGGCCAGGCCCCAGCTAATGCTGAGGATGCACGCTTTTGGGCACCTCACGCTCACGCCCAGCAACAGGCCAGATGAGCATGATTCGTTCCCTTCAGCCTCACGCCCAGCAAGAGACCAGCTGATGCTGGCCCCTCACGCTTCTGTGATGATGCGCGCCTTTCCGGCCCCGTGGCGCCGAGGTGATGCTCATGATGCTCGTCTTTTCAGACTAGACATTCCATTGCCAGTATGTAAGAACCCAGTAGATGGCTAGAAAAGGACTTGATTGCGGACGGCGCGATTCAAGGCAACCGTCACACCATGCTGGGCAGGTCATTGGTGCGGAGCCCTTAGAGATTTTTCTCAGGGAACCCAAACCCCGAACCGATTGGGGGCTCCCCTTCTTTGCTCTGTGCACACCCCAAGCCTGAACCTCTAATCATTCAGAGAACCCAAAACTTCTGACCCGTATAAGCCCGAAAAACCCAAAATCACGGGGGGACGTGCTTTGCCCTACAGAAATCCCCAAAAAAGGGCTTAAGCCAGAAGAGTTCAAAAGCCAGGCACCTCCTTGCTGCGACCACTGGTCTTGGCCACCAGGGGCCTCGCAAGTGCGGGAGTGCCGGACGGACGGGAGAATCCAAAGCCCAACCGCAGACGTGTCTTTGGGTGTGGGATTGCATCAGGGCTTCTGACCCTACAGCAAGCCTTGCACCCCAAACCTTAAATCTCAAACAACCCTAAGGCCCAAATCCAGGCACGCCTCAACCCTAATCCCCTCAACAGTTTGGGGACCTCCCAGGGCTCGATGCGCGCTTGATACACGAGTCGAAAGAGCAACCAATGACCGTTACAATCCTGCATTATCTGTTCTCAGAATCAAGCCTGAATCCTAAACCCTACCTCATTCTGCCCGTATATGAGGCTCGAGGGCTCGGAGGTTCAGGGTTGAAGTTTGGGATCGAGGGCTGACTGCTTAGGGTCGGAAGAGGCGATTCTGAGTTTCGGGCTTAGTACTTTCGGGTCTAAATGGCTCTATTGTTTGGCCTGGCCCATGTCGCCATAACCGCCGTAGCCGCCTTGCAGCCAGGGGTGATGTTGAAGTATTTGTAGAGTTGATCAGGGTTTAGAGCTTAGGGCATCACACCCCTGTGCGTGCGTGCGTGCGTGCGTGCGTGCGTGCGTGCGTGCGTGCGTGCGTGCGTGCGTGCGTGTCTGTCTGTCTGTCTGTCTGTCTGTCTGTCTGTCTGTCTGTGTGTATGCCGGTTGAAAGTTGGCAATGGCCAGGGTTTGGGGTCTGGGTTATGGTGTAGTGTTCGGGTTGGTAATTAGTTCTCGCCTGGCGGAGTGGCTCTAGGCCCCAAAACCCATTGAGCCGCCTCCAAACGCTGAAAACCCCGAGCTCAAAACCCTAACTCCATTCAAAAACCCCTGAAACCTTAAGAACCTCTAAGCCCCGAAACCCTCAAAACCCCCTGGGCCCTTTAGAACCTCTAACCCCCCCAAACCTTCAATCTCGCCTTAAAAAAGCTGAAACGGAGCGCGAGCGCCTGGTGGAGCCCCCATCTGCGTGGGGTACTGGGAGGCAGACCTGTCTCATGCTTCAGGATGTATAGGGACCTTTAAGGGGTTTTGGGGGTTTGGGCCTTAGAGTTCAAATAGGGTTTGGGGTTTAAGGTTTGCGCACACGGCAAAAATCAGAAAGCTCCGGCACACCTTCTGAATTAGGCAAACGGAAGTCCTCGCTGGGTTTTAGGAATCGCTTCTGGCGCGCTCCGTGGCAAAGCCAAGCGAAATGGCTAGCCCGTCGAAGTAAAACGAGTAGGCTTGGTAAACGGAGTCTTGGGGGGGTCTGGCTGATCATTTCAACCTTACCCAGACCCTGAACTGAAGCTCCACTACTCGGGTGCCCATTGCCAAATTTTCCATTCGGAGCCGTTTACTTTACATCATACGAACCAAACAACTTAGGCACCCCCCAAACAAGGAATTACAAGTCGGGGTCTAGGTATGTCCAGAATAGCTTACAGAGGGTTTAACGAAGTCTTAAGGGTGCAGAGGCCCCCCAGCGTTATTTTGGCCCTGTTTTTGGGTAGGGGAAACGGTGAGCTGCCAGACCACCAAGGAGCAAGAAAAAGAATGCTTGGCCTGCACGCCCTACACCCGAAACGCTAAAGTCTTAACCCTACACCCTTAACTCGAACTCCAAGAAAAAAGCCAAAACTAAAACCTTGAACCCAAAACCCGCAAACCCAAAATATCCTGGCAGCGGCTGAAAGCTTCGATTTTCCACCTCAACCGCCTTAAGCAGCAAATCGAAAGGTCGAAGCTCAAGCTCAAGCCTAAATCCTAGGCCGAAACCCCGAAACACCCCTACCCTGGGGCTCCAAGTGTGCAAACAGTACCTGGTCTCGTCTCTGCAAATAGTACGCACTTTGGGCTATTGAGAGCCTTAGGGCAACCCTACACCCTACACCCCAAACCCCAGACCCGACAAATCCCGGAATCCATGCTAGGCTGGCTCCAGCGTTCCGAACTGGGCCGGGCCCGCAGCACCTGCCGCTGTTGCGGAGTGAGGCATTTGCTTCCCCCCCTTTCACGGATTATATAGGGGCCCTTAACTCCTAAAAAATCCCAAGAAAGAAGTATCTTTGCAAAGTGTTTTTTTTTGGGAGTAGGGCCAGTCTATGCTCCACAAGGGTTTTGCTTCCTGCCTGCTAGTTTGAAACCCCTCCATCAGAAGTATACCAACACAATCCAAGCTTTTGTCAAATACCTCGGGAAAGCTGATAAAGCTTTGGGGCTCGGAGCTTGGTGCGTGTGCAAACAAGGCAATGATTACTTGGTGATTCGGTCTCAGCACTACAGTGGTAGCAGAAGGGGGCATGACCCGGAGGGTCCCGTCCAAAGCCAAGTCAAGCCCTCTAGCCCTTCGAGATCCAAGAATATTCTGGCCGAGTTAAGTAAAATGAGTCCCGTAGCTCTGATGATGATTACAGCAGAAAGAACACGGGGGAAAAGATTGGTAACAAAACATGTTCTTGCGATACACATTCCTTGCTCAGGGCCCCGCCACGCGACTGCAAAGGTGCCGGGTTGTTCCACCAGTCATTGTCACCTGGATGGGTTCACTTCTTACCAAGGCTTCAATTTTCAGGGCCTGATATGGCTTAGGTATGGATGGGCGAGGCATTCCTCTCCTATTTCTTTCTTTCATGGGGCTTGAGGGGGGAGCCACCCCATCTCCGTCTCTCTGCCTCTCTCTCTCTCTCTATCTCTCTCTCGCTCTCACTCTCACTCTCTCCTGCTGTTGTTGTTGTTGTTGCTGCTGTTGCTGCGGTTGTCTATTAAAACTTGAGCCTCTCTCAGTTTTCGTCGTTGCTGCTGCTGGTGGTTTTTGTTTTGTGTTTTATTTATCTTGTTTGATCTTCTCTCTCACTCTCTTTCCCTTTTGTACCCGCTCTCTTGGGTGGGACACATGATCTCTGTACACCGGATGTTTAAACTCCAACCTCAACCCCGAAACTCTGAAACCCTGCAACACCAACCACACTTTTCGAAGCTCTGGCCGAGGCCCCAGGCTGTCGGACTCGCTCTCCCAGCCGGCCGCCGTCGTGGGCGTGGCCTTGAGCAGCTTCCGTTCTAGGGTTTTGGGTTTGGGGTTTTAAGGTTCAGGGTTTGGGGCTCCCTGGCCCCTTCGTGACCATGGCCTTGTCGCGGCACCTTTGTTTCGAACCCTTGTCGGATGGCCATGATGGGCGCGGGGGGAAGCGTTGCTTTGCAAGCCTTTGTCCTGCCTGTAGCCTTGGAGCTTGACACGTGCTTTTTGCTCTTGCTAGACCCTGAAGGAGCTGTAAGGCGAGCATCATTAGCGTCACCTGGGTGAGCATCATCGTCATTACTTGGCCTTCTGGACCTGAGGCTACACAAGGTGGATACAGGGCCTCCCGAAACCTCCTTAAACCATCCTTAACCCTACCAGTATCACCCGGCCCCTCACAGACACTGCCACAACCGGTGGTTCTCAGAAGTTATGGGCTTTAACGGGGTCTCCTTGGTAGCCTTGGTAGAATAAGGCCCGAAAGCTTCAGATATTAAAAAAGGGGCCCAGAACTACAATCCTCAGACCCTCGCCTCTAAACCACCAATCACCGGACTGTCAGGATGCTGGGCACCCGGCAGGCGCAATTCCAGCCTAAGCCCATGGTGGTGGTTCTAAACTAGAGTTTAGGGCTTCTGCTGATTATCCAACGTGGTGCTTGCGAAAAACGCCAAGTGGTTGAGCTGGTTTGCTCATGAAGTGTAGCCAGGCCTCTTGCCTTTGCCTTTCCCCTTACCCTTACCTTTCACCACGCCGCGAACGCTACGATCGAGAAAGATTTGGTAGGGGGCTTCGGGGTGGCGTGCGGAGCATGGTGTCTGCAACCGTTACCAGTCCAGGCTACCAGCGTACCCGCTGCGCAATCGCGGACCCTCTCTGTCGGAAGACACCCGCAACATCATTGTTCATCAAATAGCGGGCCAGCTGGAGCGCCGCCCACAATGTGGCGCAGGCCCAGACTCGGCGTGAGAGCTCGGTGAAGTAGAGCGGTGGCCGGAACGGCCCCTCGCACCAGGTTTGCTGTACATGGTCATGCATGATCGGCAATACCTCGTCCACAGCAAGACGCCATGCAACCCCATTGGCTCGCGCGGGCATGTAGGCCTTGCCCATCGGTAGTGTGTAATGGCATGGCGTACCTCGTCAGCAGTGAAGACCAGTCCCTTTCCAGAGTGTATTCGGCTGGCGGCACCTCCTCATGATAAACCTTTGCCCAGTAAGCACACATCACGTCAATCTCAGCCTTGACATCAAGGGGTTCGCCCTGTCCTCCACGTAACTGTATGCGGCCGCGAGCCTGTTTAGGTGCTAACTGCTGGATGGTGGCATAGAAAGTATGACTGTCATGTGTCAGGAGCGCACGCTCAGCCTGTTCCAGCTGTCCGGTCCAGCGGAGCTTGCGTTGGGCCTGACACTGCTTGCGGAGGAGGCGCCCATTCCCTATCGGTTCCAACATAGTGATGCCGATTTTGCTGCGGAGTTCGCGACGCCGCATCGCATGAGGTGCCGAGTGCAGCAGCGATGGAAGCTCCAGAGCCGTAAGCGTCCTTCTTCTAGCAATACGAGGGGGCGATTGGACCGCATGGTATTTCTTCCAAATGGCCCAAACGATAACGCAAATTTTAACAAACCCGACAATGCCTGCAAGCGTCAAGCAAACACCATCATCCACTGATGCAGAACGGACGCGCGGACTGATTTGGCCAAGGCCTTCTCTCGGGAGGTGAGCGGGCCGTTCACCCAGCTTATCGGCTCTGGAAACAATGTCGGCATGTCGCACAACTCGGGCTCAGCTAAGCAATCCGCGAAAACCGCTTGAACCCGCGTCGACAAAGTGATCCCAACACCCTTGGCGCCCGCTTTTGAGATCCACCAGGCCCAGCCCCTGAACCCTGAACCCCTAAATCCTAAACTGTAGGGGAAACCCTAAACCCCTAGAAACAACGCCAGAGGTCCTTTCTGCGGGTGAGCCGCGCCGCCGCCGCCATAACCGGGACTGGCTTGGCCAAATCCAGGCTTTGCCTCTCCCAAAGGCATAGTTTCTTTGAGAGCGGGCCTATCCACAAGCGACGCCCCCTAAACCCAAAACCCTCAACCCTGAACCCGAAGAGCCAAAACGCCCAGCCCCCCGAATCTTCACGAATGCCCCCAACGAGCCCCAGACAACCCTACAGGCCCTGCTCCGAAGCGGGTTGCTCTGTGAGAAAGTTGCTTCGAGTTCAGGATTCTGGGGGCTTCGGCCACTATTTGCAAGTAGGCTTGCCTGAGCTCCACGATGTCACCACCTTGAGCGTTCCTGACTCTGCTGGCAAACCTACGAAAATTTACACAAGTACCGCCGCGCGTGGCCATGGAGGCTGGCCGTTCTGGTCGAAGATGTCCATGTCAAGCATGCTCTCACCATATCTCGCCATCTCTATTGAAGACGCATCAGATTGGTCGTGCACTAGAGACAATGGTCTCAATTCTGGGCCCTTTCTGGGCATGTATTATATCGCATATTCCTTGAAGTTTAGGGTGAGCAAAGAAGCAAGATCCGAAACCCCATACATGAACCAAAACTTCTGTAGATTCAAGAGCTTCCAACCCTGAATCTGCTTACGCCGCCTGGCCCATGTCGCCATACGCACCGCAGCCGCCTTGTGAGGAGCGAGGAGGCTGTGAACCAAAGACCCCATGCACGAGCTTAGCGTTTTGGGCTGCTATAGGGTTCTTTGGGTTGATAGGCCTTGTAGGGTTTTGCTAGTTAAGGTTTGCAGTCTTCAGGGTTTCGGGCTTACCGGTGTGTAGAGCTTTATGGTTGAGATTTTGAGTGTTCAGTACTTTGACCTGGGCAGCGTTGCGTAAGTTGAAGGCTTCTGGGTTGTCAATTGATGGCTTTTGAGTGAACTTTCCAAGATGGTTTTCTTGCGGGTCTGGGTCAAGGCCATGGAAACCGCTTACGTAGGCACTGGCTGAAGCCTGTAAGGGTTAAAAGTCTAGAGTTTCAACCCGATGTGTTTGCCATCTTGGGGAGAGGAGCCACAGACCCAATCACCAGAACCACTCTGGGGGCAAACGGACCGAAACGGAACTGTGGTCGACTTTTCAGCCGAACAGCCACCAAATCCATGAGGGTTTTGGATTGAGAGCTGATAAGGTTTAGCTGGGCTTAGTAATACTGCATCCATGCCTGGCGGTGCTCCAGTGCCCATCTGCGTCGGGTACTGAGAGGACCTGTCTCATGCAGGACTTCTGAAGCCCTAAACCCTAAAAATGACAAGCCAACAAAGATCTGAACCTTCAACCCCAAGAAAAAAAAAACCTTTTAGAATGTCTAGACTTGGCCGCCCCAGATCCCAAGCCCTCCCCAGATCCCCAAACCCCAGAAGCCGCAATATAGGGTGGAGTCAGGAGCTTTCATGGGAGAAGATTGAGGCTCATGCATTGCACTTAAATCCTTAAGAGTAGGGTTGAGGGTTTAGGGTTGCCCTACAAGCCCTAAAACCCACAAAAGCCCTAAGCGTGCCCCGGTGGCTCCGCCGTGCCGAACTGCGGCGGGGCTGGGCCTCTACCAGGTTTTGGTTCCCTTTGGTGATGAGGTGCGAGGTGGGTTTAGGGTCCAGTGGCCTAGGAAAACAAAGCGTCGTTGGTGCTCTTTTTTTCTGGAGCCTAAACGGGAACCGATCCCTTTTGCATCAAATGATCCCAAACCCAAAGCCCTCGCCCCTTTATATATTCAGGAACCCTGCCCTTCCTGGTTTCCGACACAGAGCCACCTTACATTGTCTGCCAACACCCATACATTGCTGGAAAGCCTGAGACTACAGGGGCTACACCCTCTGAGGGGTCATAAGGGGGTTTAGCGCCTGATTCGGGCTGACTGAATGCTGGCTCTTGGCTTTGGTGGGCTTGCCATTGGACTCGGCTCAAATGCAATTGGGCTGGGGAAGGACTCGAACAGTCTCACGGTCGCTCGCTGGCCCGCGGCAGAGTCCCCGAAACTCTGTACCGAATTTCAAGCCCTGCAAGCCGCATGAACCTGTGACTCAAGCCCCGGAAAGCCTGTTAAAACCCTGCAGTTTGAGAGCTCCAAAAAATTTGTGTTCAGGGATTAGCGGCCACTCGCCCTCTCGGCTCTTTCTAGACTCTAAATCCTGCGCTAAGCTCCTAAAACCCTAAACCCCTGAACCCCAAACCCCAAACCGTTCCGTGCGCTCCTGGCGGCGCGCCCATCTGCGTGGGATACTGAGAGGCAGGCCTGTCAGACGCTGCGCAAATTAAACAATCCTCACGTCGCTGGGTTCCCTGAATTTGTGCCACTAAGCTGCAATTAAGGTTCGAAGGTCTGAATAAAACGGGCGTTTGGGGTCACAAGGGTTTTAGGGGGGAACTTTGGCTTGCCAAAACTGCTGACATGTGGTCCCGAACGAGCTCCGCAGGGTTTGCAGGCTTTCAGGGGCTGTGGGTTTTGCGGTTTGGCGAAACTCTTAGGGACAGCCCGGCAAGGTGATCGCACTTCGCTTCGCACGCGCGTCTAGTTGGTACTCAGACTGATCCTGAAGGCATCCAAGCTTCGGCCCTAAACCTTCCAGGGCTTAGGGCTTAGGAGTTGGAAGCTCTCAGGCCCAAACTGCAACAGTAAGACCCCAAGCAAGGCCTGAAACCCGAAACCCCGTAATCCCCTGACCCGTTTACACACCCAAACGCCGTGACCCTTTAAAACCCCCAAGCAACCCGTAGGCCCCAAGCAAGCCCCCTAAAACACTAAACCAAAGCCTAAAGCCCGCCAAGCCCGAAAACCTAAACTCCACTCCCCCAACCCTAAACCCTAAACCCTAAACCTTAAAAACCTTAAACCCTAAACCCTAAATATACTTACCAAAGCCCGACAAACCTTTAAGCGCCCGGCTGGCCCCACGTCTGCGGAGGAGGCTGGGACTGGCCGAAGCCACCAGGGGCCTGAAGGTCCAACAATGGTTTGGGGGGTTTGGGTTTTGGGGTTCTTGGGGTTTAGAGTTTGGGGTTTGGGGTTTTGGAGTTTGGGGTTTGGGGTTGAGGGTTGGGTGCTGTTCGGAATAGCGTTTGGGGCTTAGGATCTGGCGTTTGGGGGTTGAGCGCCCCTTAAATAGAACCCTTCAGACCTCAAAGCCTGACCTCGGACAGATTTAGGACACAAAGCCCCGCATCCCGAGAAAGGTCGTGCGAACCCCTACATCCTACACTGTGTCTCAAGCTCTTGCGGCCGGGCGGCGTTCACGCCGAAACTTGGATTGGCTTGGCCAAATCCAGGCTGCACCTGGAGCCGAACTCCAAACCCTACAATAACACCTATCTTGGGGTTACAGGGTCTGAGGGTCTTGGGGCTTAAGGGTTTTCAGAGATGTTTTGGAGTTTATAGGCTAGGCCCCAACCCACAAGTGTTTGGGATGGGCAAGGCAGCCCTCAGCCAAGCCGGAAAGCCGGATAAGGTCTAGAGCTTAAAGGAGTTGATTGGAAGGCTTTAGAATTTTAGGGTGCAGGGTTGCAGGGGTTTCCTCATTCGGGCTCTGTGGGTTTCGGAGCTTGGGGGTTTCAGGGCAACCTTGAGCGCCAAGTCCAATGCCCGACCGCGAGATGCGCCTCGTGAGGCGGCATGGTGGTGTGTGGCATGCCTCCGGTCATGCCCTGCGGCGGCATCGTCCTCAGCAGCCCAACTTCGCGGCTCAGGATTGAGGGTTTGTAGGGATGTAGGGTCAGGAGTCAGGAGTCAGGGCTCCTCAAAATAAGGAATCAGCAGGCTTGGCGTTGAGAGGATTAGAGATAACCGCACATGTTGCCTCGAAGCGTCTGCGGTGGCATGGCCTGTGGCGGCATGCTCTGCGGCGGCATGCTCTGCGGCGGCATAGTCTGCGGCGGCATCGTCTGAGGCCTTGGACAAAAGACCGCACTTTGAAGGATCTTCGCCTCACTGTTCCTGGAAAGTTTTGAATCACTCACATCCCCTTATGTCACCAAATACAACCCTATAAGGGGTTATGAAGGGCAGGCGAAGTTTGTGCAACGGGGCCCTTGCGACTGCGCGCCTTGTTCCAGAAACATCAAGCGTGATGGCAAACAAACACGAAAAAGCAGCAAATGTCAGTTTCTTGTTTGCATTTTTGCATTTGGAATGGCACACCTTAATTCTGGAAACATCAGCCCTCCTGGCCACCGTATACATTCCAAGCAGCCTAAGCGATTAGACTAAGGTTCCATCGCAGCGATTGACGACAAGTGGTTCTTCAAAGGGAAGCACACCCTGCAGCGTGCTCATGAAAAAGGCAGCACATCAAAGAATGTGTTCCCTAAACCCCCAAGCAATTGCCCCCCAAAACTCTATGCCGTAAGCGCCCTGCTGCCCCCAGGTCTGTGCCGGCGGCTGCTGCTGCTGACCGAAGCCACCCGCTTGGCCCATGCCACCCATGCCGGCCTGGGGGCGCATTACTTGGCTGATTCAGGTTGGATTGCTTGTGGTATTCCCAACAGGGGTGCCCCTTATGCACCGGGTATAAATATGTTTCAACCCCCTACGACAGGATTGATAGCCCCTGCCAGACAACCCGCTGCCCCTTCAAAAAACTCTTCAAAAAACAACCCCCAAACCCCCCAGGAAGAAGACCTACCACCACAGACAATGCGCCACCCCTTCAAAAAAACTACCCCGAATCCCCCACCTACCTCCCCCAGACCTGAGAACGGCGCCATACCGGCCATTCCTGCCATCGAAGCTTCCAAAGAATTTGGGATTTCAGGGGTAGAGGGGGAAGGGGGTTGAGGGGCTGGGGCTTCGTGAGCGGGGAGCAAGGAGTTTAGGGTCTCGAGTTAGGGTTTAGTAGGATTTGGGAGCTTTAGGCTAGGGTTGAGAGTTTTGTTAGAGTTTAGGTGCTTTTGGGAGTTTACACAGAACGCAAAGTTGAAGGGTTTGGGAAACCCGTTTAAGAACATCCTGGTCACGAATCGGGCGACCAAGCGCCGAGGCGCCAAACCCTCAAGGGCTCAGGGTTTAGGGTTTAGGGTGAAGATGGGGGGGGAAGGGCGGGGAAGGGGGCGGGGTGGTGTTGAGAATTCAACGCCCCAAGCCCCAAGCCCTACAACCGCACCCTGGACTCTGAACCCTAAACGCTCCTCCCATCCCGGCAGGAGCGCTGTCGAAGCCGCCCATGCCTCCAGATGATTCTCCGCCAGGTTAAGGGCTCAACGGATATTCAAAGGTTCAGTGGTTAGGGTTTGTTTGGAGTTTAGGGTTTAGGGAATGTATAATCATCTTGGCTTCGGGCTTCTTTAACTGTATTTGGTTTGAGGTTTCGGGAATTTGGGTGCAGGGTTGGGGCTTGCTAGTTCGTGGGTTCTAGCCATTTTGAGGCTCAGGACGCTACCGTAAACCTCATAAACCCCAAAAAAAGCCGATAAACCTCATAAGCACTGTATGTCGCAGCCGGGCTTCTTTGGAACGTGAACCTACAGCGGATGGCACATCCCGCTGAATTCATCCACACCGGACCCTGTCCTCCAACAGCCCGTGGGCATCCTTGTTGAACACCACGAGCACAAAACGAACGAACCTCTGGGCACTTGATAACACTAAGCCTTCAACCAGCCCTAACCCCTCAACCATAAACCCCGCATTGTCTCGCCCAACAGACAAAAACTCGATCAGCAGCTGCTGCAGCGCCTCCCATCCCGGGCATGCTGTCAAAGCCACCGCCCATGCCGCCTTCTGTGAATGGCTGAGGGCTGAGTTCGCTAAGGGAGAGGAGGGTGCACCTTCTCAGTTTTTGGGGCGAAGGGTGTAGGGTGGCCTTGGGAAAAAGAGGGTGAACCTTCGCTGATGAAAGGCTACGTGCTCAGCCACTAAGTTCCGGCTCTTGCAGCTTCAGGGTCCGGGGTGCAGGGGTTGTAGGATTCAGCGCGTCTGAGAAGAATGACGCTTGCTTTTGTTGGGCGAGAACCTCAATCCTAAACTCTAAACCCGAACCCTAACGAAGTTCAGATTGCTACAAAGGGCCCGGGCTGTCAACCCTATCTACACTCGATGCAAACACTACGGCCTAAGTACGCTTCTCTCAAAATGCAGGGAAAGCCGAACAGATTTTCTAGAACATCTTTCGTTTCGGTTGCCGCCGAGACGTGCAGATTGTGGACTGGGAAGGGCGCCTGCTGTCCCATATACCCAGGACCAACTGACAGAAAATCAAATCCTCCGAACGCCCCGAAAAACCCTGCTGAGTCGCACAAAACCTTTACCAACCCGATCTAACCCTCTAAAAGCCCTACATAAACCCTATAAATCCGAAACCCTTGCCCCACAACCCCCGGTCTCTACCTGGAGCAGTATCGAAGAAGCCTGCGAGGCTGCGAACTCTGTGGTTTCAAGGGTTTCTTCTGTGGGGTGTACAGAGCCAAACCCTACAACCCTAAACCGTTGCAAACTCTAGACCGGCCCTGCATAAGCCCAAAAAGCCCTCTACAATAAGCCCCTTACGACCCTTGTACAACACCATCCCAGAGCCCTCTTCTTAACAACCCTAAAGGGCTTATAGGGCTCACGCGGTCGCGGGCTTGAATGCTTTACAGGGCTGAATAGGGCTTAATCGGGCTTATAGGGTTTAAAGGGTTTGTCGGGCTTACAGCGTTGCTCGGGTTGGAAGCTCAGAGTTCAGGGTTTAGGATTCGAGGCATCTGGGCCTCAGGGGCTTTCAGGGACTTGCTTTGACAGCCCCAGCTCGCCAAATCCTTCGAACTCGGAGCTCATTTTGTTTTTCAGGCTTTAGGGTTTAGGGTTTGATTCTCAAGTCTCAGCTGCGAGACCTTGCGACTGTACATGGTCTAAGGACACAACAACATTGAAGCCTAAATCTAAACAATGAACCCCTCGTTGGAGGGGCTCATGCGTGTACCCGAGCTGCCTCTACTTGCCCATGAAGCCAGATCTTGGACCGGCGCCTGACGTCGGAAAGTCCGGAAAGTCCGCCGCTGGGCTCACATCGGACTTCGCACTCTTGGCAGGCGACTTGTCCTCAGGGCTTCGGGTCTACACTTTTTTGCGTGCGTGTGTTGTTGTTGAGGTTCCCTCTTGGGGGTCCTTCGACCTTCTAGGCGAAGATACCGATGGAGAGACCTAAGCTTAGAGCGAGCCCCCAGACCCTGCCTTCACCCAGAAGCCCCAAAAAGCCCGAAGCTCCCCGCAATTAAGCCCCCCCCGGCGGTTCCTGGAGACCTCCAACCTCTTCATCCATGAAGCCAGGATCGGTCCTTCTTCTTGCTCTTCTTCTCCTTCTCCTTCTCCTTCTTGCTGCTTTTCGACTCTCCACCGCCACCACCATCGCCGCCACCTGCAATTCAGGTTTAGGTACAAGCGGGGGGGTCAAGGGCAGCTGCCACTCTTACACCCCAAAGCATGCTCTAAGCTTTGAAGCCTAAACTCCTAAACGCTACAGCTCACCCGCCTGAACCTCCGTGGCGGCCACATCTGCAGCATCTGCTTACTAACATACCTTTCTTATGTGTCACAAGACACTTCAGCGTGGAGATATCTTGTTAAAGGAGCCCTCAGAACAAAAACAACTGAGTCCTCTGAAGCCCTAAACCCTCAGATCGCGCCTCCCTGCCCAGCTCTTCGGACCTCGACACTGCCACAATATGCCACAATGAGGGGCGGGTGTTTTGGATTTGCTTTTTTTTTTTTGGGGGGGGGGGGGGGGGGGGGGGGGGTTAGAACTTAGGCTTTGGGGTTTCGGGATGTGTTCGGGTTAGAGGCTGTTCGTGGGCAAAAAGGAAGCCAAAGTCTTCGTGTGGTTGGAGAAGGTCTTGGCGGCTTCATTGTTTTTTTTTAAGGCTTCGGGGTTGCTCTGCAAGTATCCCACGAACGGAGAACTTTCCTTTCATCACACTCAGGGATGAAGCATATGGGGCCCTGTCTGAGGGTCGGGATAGCTGGGTTCCTACACGCTCAGCATCCACAACTCCACTTGCGGAAGTGAACCTGTGGGAACTCAGGCCTGGCCGAGGTGTCTTCAGAATGCGAAAAACTCAGCAAGCTTAGCATCTAGAGGAGGCGAAGGGATCGTAAACGGCTGTTCTAAGTTAGGGTCCCACCTTAGGGCATTTGAATAACGAGGAACTTCAAAACATGGCCGGGTGGGTGGGTGTGGGTGGGTGTGGGTGGGTGTGGGTGGGTGTGGGTGGGTGTGGGTGGGTGTGGGTGGGTGTGGGTGGGTGTGGGTGGGTGTGGGTGGGTGAGGGGGGTGAGGGGGGGGGGAATAGAATCTTATCAGGGGCATCAAACCCTGCCTTGTCATCCGGCGTGCTTAGCACGTGGTTGATGGCGCGCTCCAGGTTCTTGTCAGCGCCCTCCCAAATCTCCGTCAGGAACCTTGCAGGTTGTGTTTTGCTGTTATTGACGATGATTAGTGATTATCATTACTCGAATCGTTCCAAGGCTTTGGCCAGGACCAGGACACCTTCAACTTGAAGAAGGGTTTGGGGGTTTAGGGGGGCAGGGTGTCTGAGGGACATGATGTAGGGAAGTGCATCAGGGTCTGCACAACTCAATGGGAGACGAGGGCCAGCAATCCCTCAACACGTGCTTTCGAAGTTTAGGGTTCGAGGCTGTCTCGTGCTTCGGGTGTGTGGGGATTCCTGCATTTTGCAACACCTTGTCAGGAGCATTGAACCATTAACTCAAATGGGATTATCGAATCAGCATCCGGAAATCACATAGTTCTTATGAGGAAATGGTGCTGACAATTGTTTTTGGCTGGGGCCTATGGCTTAAGACTGAGATCTTATGACGGGGTCGCGGAGCCACGGAATTTGCAGTTGCACTGCCCTGAACCCTTGGCGGCTTTAGGGGCTTATGTTTTGGAGCCCCAACCCCCCCAAACCCCCAACCCCCTGCCCCCCAGGGAACTGACTCAAAGTTAAGATCCAGCTTCTGGAAGTAGGGCTTTAGCGCCTATACTTCGAAACCTAAAGTTTTTAAAAATTTATTCTGCGACATCAGTTTGTTGGCGTGACCCGCTATTACCACAATTTTTGTTTTCCGGATGTCTGTTTGTTGTTGTTTTTTTCAGGGTTTGTGTTTAGGATTAAGGGCTTACGCAGTAAGGCTTGCGTTCTTGAGGGCCTTGGGCTCCAGGAATCTTAAAAAGAGCAGAGCCGAGCCCGGAGAATCCAGAAAGCTAAGCCCGGCCAGTTCCATTTAAAGCCTTACTGAATTTCATTATGAAAGTCTTACTGAATTTCATTCTGTAACGAGGCCCCAAACAAATTTTGCGATAGGTAGTGCACGGGCCAGCCAGACGCGACACAAAGTTCTTTACAGAATAGAGGGTCCAAATTTCTTGGGGGGGGGGGGAGCGGCGCCCTTATTCAAGACAGCGCAACATCATGATTCTATATGGGCTCTGGGCTTTAGGGCTTCTGGGGCTACTAGGGCTAGGGCTAAGACACCGAAGGTCCGAACCACGAACTCTGAAGCCCCAAACGCCAAAAACAAAATACCTAAACCCGTAACCTCGAAAACTCTCAGACCCTATCACACACAAAGCCCAGGAAACCCTAGAGTCTTAAACGCAAAGACACCCCTGAGGCCCCAATACGGCCCTGGATACGACTGAAACTTCTCCACTGAAGCTTCCCAGGCCCGGCACTGTTTGTCCAAGGGGGCGCCCCCCATGAACTCCTGCGCCTGAGACGGGGCTAGGCCTCTTCGGGATCAAGGGTTTCAACTTTTTGGCTGAGGGTTTCGGGTTTGATTTTCATCCCAATTGTAGGCTTTTGGGGCAGTGCAGGGTGACCCTCAGCGCCCGGGACCTGCGAACCTTGGCTCAGCTAAGGTTCCCAACGGCCCAAGCTTGGGGTCCAGAGCTGGGGATCTCTAGACTTTTCGGGGCTTCGTGCTGGGGATTTTGGGAATTTCTTGTGTTTTTTTTTTTTTTGGAAGGGGTTTGGATTTTTGGGGGTCTTGGGCTTAGAGGGTGTTGGGGTTAACCTTACCCCGTCAACCCTTGTAAATCCTCTTAATGTACAGGGGCTGACGGTCTCAGGAGCCGGCCATCTTGCAAAAGTTGTCGAACTCTTCATTTCCCATGGCTGCAAGTGCTTTGGAGACAGCAGAAGCTTGTCGCAGGAGCGGCGCGATCTGTGCTGGCTGCACACGGCTAGGAGAACTTGATGTGAGTAGGTGTGGGTGTGCGAGGCTAACCTACGAGCATCCCCACTGGAGGGCATCAGCAAACGAGCCCAGCTTCAACCTCTACAGCCACCATCCAAAACTCTAAACCCTCCAAAATCTCAAACCGCACTTCGAAGTTTAGATGGTAAGCCCTTGAACCCTTTAACCCTTAAACACTTCATCCTTGAGTCCTTACTACTTGCTCTACCTGGGCCCAGCTGGCAGCTGCACCAACAAGGTGACAACGACGCTTGTTTTTTTTTTACGGATTTTTGGGGATCGCAGGGCTTTTGGGTTTGCAAAATAATGCTTCTTAGGCAGGCTTCGAGGTTATTGGGGCTCGTAGTTTGTTCTTTGTTTTAAGGGCCGGTTTGTCGGGCTCACGCTCACGGATTGGGATTGAAAGTGGGTGGTCCGAAACCCTGAGCCACATGTTGGGTCGGTGTTCAGGGTGTGGAAGGTCACAACTGCGCAAGGCAGTGGAAAGCTCGCTTCGCACACTTGTGCCAAAGGAATATGTAGGGGTTCTCCTTTCCTCGCATATGACCTTGCCTTCCATATGACCTTGCTATTTGCTCATTTCCCCTAAGCCGTAAGTCCACAATCCCCCAACTTTCAAGCCCTCATTACACCCCCAAAACTTGACACCCCAAAAAGATCCTAAGCCCCCAGCGCCCCTGAGCCCCCTAAGCGAGCACAAAGAGCTGAATACCTACCCGGAACTGATGCTACAGTAGAGCCTTTTGGGGAATATTCCTGAGCAAAGAGGAATGAAGCCCTAAGCCCTGAACGCCCCCTCAGCCCCCCAAATCCCGAACTCCCTCACCTCTAATCCCGTAAACCCGTGCACCCTGAACCCCTAGACCCCCCAAACCCCCATAGGCCGCTACACCCTAAACCCGTAATCACCCTAAACCTGTAAATCTGTAATCCCGTAAACCCCTGAACTCCTAAGAACAACCCTAACCCTAAACCCTAAACCCTAAACCCTAAACCCTAAACCCTAAACCCTAAACCCTAAACCCTAAACCCTAAACCCCCCACCCCCCCAGCCCCTCGCGTCAGACAGCGCACTCGGGGTTCAACTCGGGGTTGTTGGCGATCATCTTGCGGAGCAGCTTCTCGTCTTCCTGGTGCATGTACCTGGTGGGTACTTGGAGAGAGGGTTTAGGGTTTAGGGGTTTAGGGTTTGGGGCTTAGGGTTTAGGGCTTTCAGGAACTCCGGGTGTTCCTTTACATTTTTCTGGGGGGGGGCTTTGGAAGGTTTCTACCCTACAGGGTAGGGGTTGGGGTTGAGAGCGCATGATGCGCTAAGTTCCTTGCGACCTCCGACTTCTGCAATCACCCTGAGCCTTCCAAACGTCTGCGAAGGGCTTAGGTCAAACTTTGGTGGGACGGGCTTAGGGTTTAGGGCTTACGTATCATCGTACTTATTAGCACCCATGAGCCAGGAGATCCCTTGCTGGCGACAAGGCGAGCATCATATTCTCATGCAGATCAAGGGTTACAAAGAGTGACCAATGTTTCCTTATTTATAATATAAAAATGTGGTCCTTTAGAACCCAACTTTAGGCAAAATATGGAGATTCCTTGGGATTCATTCGTATTTCAATCTCTAATTCATGCCTCCAAGCCTTTTGAGGATGTCTACCGTATTCTTCATCCAACGCACGAGCCTAACCCCCAAAGCCTAAAGCCCTAAATAAACCCCACACTCCGGGCGGCGCACAGATTCTCCTGCGCCTCGGCACGTGGCGTGGCTGGGGTTCAGGGGTCAAGGGGCTTCACGGGGTTCAGGTCCCAGGTGTAGGATTCAAAAATCTCAGGGTTTGGGTGTGTCGGGTCAAGGGGATTTAAAACTTCTGGGGGTCGAAGCGTTGCACTGCTGGCGCCGAAGCCGTGCCTTCAACGGGCTGTACTACAGAACTTAACCTGTTTAAAAATGCATGTGCGCTACTAAGCAAGACAGTCCCCGTCCGTAGCCGCCTGGACGGCCCAAACCCCAAACCCCCTCAAAAACCCTGAAGACTTACACCCTCAACCCAGCACAGTAGAGGTCCTTCAGGGGTATCTAAGGGTACTCAGCATTGTAGTAGGACTTTAGGAGTATATGCCCAGTTGGCACTGCCCTGGCTAACACACACTGAATCTCCAAACACTAAACCTTACCTGTCACCTCAAGACCCCAAAAGCTACAAATTCGTGCGTAATGCCGGACATAGAGTTACCGAGCCCTCGCCCTTCAAAAAACCTGCTCAAACCCTTCAACCAATCGGGAAAGCAGGGTTCAGGGTTAAGGGTTGAGGTGCCCCCCCCCCCCCCTGTACCCCTGCAAGTCTTCACTGTATGATTCAGGCGCCTTGTGCGCCTCTTCCAAAATGCGGATGCCGCCGGAGAAGCGAGCCTCTTGAGGTCTGAAGCTTTCAGTGTTTCAAGGTCGATCGGTTTAGGGCTTTCCCGACCTAGTGGATTGAAGCAGTTAGGGGGGTGTGCGCATGCGTTGATGGGCGGAGGGCCTAAACCCTAACCCTCACACACTCCAAAGCCCTTCAGGGTTTCAAGAAGCCATGAAAGCCCGAACCCTAAAGCCCGAACTCTAAAGCCCGCTACCACGCCCCCGCCTGCCGAGCGAGCGGGGCGCTGAGAGGGCGCAGGGACGACCGCACGGCAGCGAGCATGGCCTCGGCGGACGGAGGAGACGGGGGCTCCACCCTTAGTAGACCCTGACAAAACCCGAAAACATCCTAAGCCCAGAGTTTTTCGGGACCTTCAAGGATGCCCTGTGTCTTTTTTGAAGCCGAACACCTAAGCCAAGAGCCTAAGGGAACAACCTTTTGGGCCTGAGAAGATGGGGATGAAAGGGCTTTGGGGGGGGGAGCTTACGCCAGTTCGAGGCGTAAGGCTGAGGGTGCGGGGACGATTAGGGCTGAGCAGGGGAGGGGAGGACCTCAGCGCTCAGGTCTTCAGACTTCAACTTAAGGCTCAGGGCCTAGGGCTTGCGGGGTTTGGGGGATTTTAGGGCTCCTACTTAAACCTCTCACGGGCTTTTGCAGAGGACTAGTCCAGAGACTGTCGGCCTCCAGAGCCCACAGCAGCGCTGGCTTGTGAAGGGAACTCTACTGACCTAAAAAGTTTGTAACCCAATAAACGTCATCCACCTCTGTCAAGGCTTTAAGCCGTCGACTCTACAAACCACCAAAAGACATCTGACATGTGACTGAACCCTGCCCATGGAGTCCGACGGCTCGGCTTCTCAGCTCCCGGCTGGTTTGGCAGGGCCCAAAGAGCAGAGCAAGCGCTTCAAATCTCACACTTTTCTGGGGAGCCCGAGACCGACGGCAAGAGTCGCATCAAAGCCGGGGCTCCTTGCCCTACAACACTCACCTCAGCGGATTAGATGCAGTAACCACAGAATCAGAAGAAGAATGGTTTAGGGTTTGTTCAGGATGTACCCTGATCAGGTTCCCTGAATTTCTCCTACTATGGCCCTTACGATTCCCTTAGAGTATCTTCAAAAGGGGTCCCCAAACCCAAGGGTACAACCTTTTGGGCTCCAAGGCAGAGCCCCATGAGAGAGAGAGAGAGAGAAAGACAGACAGAGAAAGAGAGAGAGAGAGAGAGAGAGAGAGAGAGAGAGGAGAGAGGAGGGAGGAGAAAGAGAGAAAGAGAGAAAAAGAGAGAAAAGAGAAGAGAAGGGAACGAGAGAAAGAGACGAGATAGGGAGAGAGGATGAGGGAGAGAGAGAGGAGAGAGGAGAGGCCGCGGAGGAGATGAGAGGAGCGTGAGAAGAGAGAGAGAGAAAAAGAGACAGCGGAGAAAAGAGAGAGGAAGAGAGAGAAAAGACAGCAACGCGAGAGAGAGAGAGGAGAGGGAGGGAGAGAAAGTGAGAAAGAGGAAACGGGAGAGGAAAGGAGAGCGAGATGGAGAGAGAGAGAAAGAGAGACAGGAAAAGAGAGGGAGCGGGAGCGGCGAGAGAGAGGGAGGAAAGAGAGGAAGAGAGAGACTGAGGAGAGAGGGGAGAAAAGAAGAGGAAAGAAGAGAGAGAGAGGAGAGAGAGAGAGGGGGAAAGGCGGGGGAGAGAGAGGAGGAAAGAAAGAAGGGAGATTTTGGAGATTTTTGTGGGGATGAGAGAAAGAAGAAGAGAAAAGAGAAAAGAGGAAAGAGAGAGAGATGTTGTTGATTGGAGTGAGATTTTTTTAAGAAAGAGAGAGAAGAGAGATGAGAGCGGAGAGAGAAAGAGGGGGAGAGAGAGAGAGAGAGAGAGAGAGAGAGAAAGAGACAGAGAGAGAGAGAGAGAGAGAGAGAGAGGGAAAGAAAGAGAGGGAAAGAGAAGGAGAAAGGGAAAGAGAAGGGGAGAGAGGGAGACAGAGAGAGAGAGGGGGAGAGAGGGAGAAAGAAGGGGAGAGAGGGAGAGAGAGAGAGAGAGAGAGAGAGAGAGAGAGAGAGAGAGAGAGAGAGAGAGAGAGAGAGAGAGAGAGGGGGAGAGAGGGAGATGCCCATGCCTTTTGAAGCGATACTGCGCCGAGGCCTTAAAGCAAGCCAGTTTCCGTTTTTTTCGAGCGCAAGCCTGTCGCTTCTTTTGACGCTTGAGACGACGAAGGTGACTGCGAAACTGACAACGCGACAGCCCCTGTTCCTCCCGAGTGACGGACTGACACGTTCGCTTCGGCCGAGCCCTCGGCGGTTGCCCAATCCCACGATTTATATTTCGTGCTTGGGAAAGGAGATTGTTAAGCTCGCCTTCGAAAAAATCAACATCCGCTTCCAGCACCTTCTCAACTTGCCTAGCAAGGTCAACATCACACATGAGAGAGCTCCAAACATCGGCTGCTGAAAGGTCCACCCAACCGTCACCTAAAGTCTCTGCAGCTCGGTTTCCCAGCATTTGGCAAAAACCAGGCCGACCCCCCCAAGAC